AGTGGGGCTATCTTATAAATGTTTTGGAGAGGTTTGGATTTGGTTCAAAATTAATTTCTTGGATAAAACTCCTTTATGCCGCCCCCAAAACATCTGTACGCTCAAACAATATTATTTCAGATCCTTTTCCACTAGGTCGGGGCACAAGGCAGGGTTGTCCCCTTTCCCCTCTTCTATTTGCTATTGCTATTGAACCCCTTGCAATTGCATTACGTGCTGACTCAGAGGTGCAGGGCATTTTTCGTGGTGATCTAGAACAGAAGGTTTCTTTATATGCTGACGATCTTATTTTATTTTTATCCAATCCTCTAGTCTCAATTCCTCGAGTTCTTTTAATATTGGGCTCATTTAGTACCTTTTCAGGTTATAAATTGAATTTTTCCAAGAGCGAATTATTCCCAGTAAATTCTACTGCATTAAGTCTGTCATATTCAAATTTCCAATTCAGAGTTGTTAATAACCAATTTAGGTACTTGGGTATCCAAGTGAACGTAAACATGCTGACTTATTTAAAACCAATTTTAGCCCTTTATTCGATCTCACAAAATCTATGTTTTTATCATGGAAACCCCTCCCTCTGTCACTGATAGGAAGGGTAAATGCAGTTAAAATGAACATTCTTCCCAAATTTTTATATTTATTTCAATGCTTGCCCATATTTATTCCTAAGTCATTTTTCTCCGGTCTGGAAAAGACTATCTCGTCATTTATTTGGAATAACAAGCCAAGGCGAATAAGTCTAAAGCATCTTGTTAAGCCAAAAGAGGTGGGAGGTTTGGCTTTGCCTAACTTTCAAACGTATTACTGGGCAGCCAACTTTAGAAACTTATTGTACTGGTGCCGGTATGATTTACAACTGTGTAAACCTCTTTGGGTGCAAATAGAGGCTGTATGTTGTTCCCCAGTCACGCTGACATCTTTGCTCTGTTCTTCTATCCCTCCGACTCATAGTATCTCAATTAAGAATCCAATTGTTAAACATTCTCTGAGGATTTGGACTCAGTTCCGCAGAGCTCTAGAGCTTAAGGGTCTTTCTTCAGCTGCACCCATTGCCAGTAACGCTTCTTTTCCGCCCTCTCTTTTTGATGGGGCTTTCAATATTTGGAAGTCACAAGGTCTGGTTACAATTGATCAGCTATTTATAGATAATAATTTTGCTTCATTTGACCAACTTAAAAATAAATTTTCTTTGTCCAATTCCCATTTATTCCGGTATTTTCAAGTTCGGAGCTTTGCCCGTAAACATTTTCTGGAGTTCCCCTCTGCCTCTCCTAGTGGTGTCTTCGAGTGTATTTTAGATCAACATAAATGTATAAGGGGTGCCATTTCAAAGATTTACAGTATAATAAATGACAAACAAACCCCATCTAGCGGATCATTAAAATCTCTCTGGGAGCAGGACTTAAGTATTTTGTTAGAAGATGAAACCTGGGACACTATCTTAAAAAGGATACATTCTTCTTCAGTTAGCTCTAGACATAGGCTTATTCAATTTAAGGTAGTGCATCGTATTCATTGGTCTAGGGTGCAACTCAGCAAGATATTTCCTGAATTAGACCCCACCTGCCCACGCTGTGTTGTGGAGCCAGCCTCTCTGTTTCATTCTTTTTGGTCCTGTCCTAAGTTATTAAGGTTTTGGGGGGGAATTTTTAGTTGTCTCTCAGAAATTCTTACCATAGTAATAGACCCCAACCCATTGACAGCTTTATTTGGGGTTCTTCCGGAAAATGTTAATCTTACATCTTTAGAAATGGACAATATTGCACTTTGCACATTGTTGGCTAGACGGCTTATACTAATTAATTGGAAGCTGCCATCTCCTCCGACCTACCGTCAGTGGGTTTTTGACCTACTTTTTGCCCTCAAACTTGAAAAGATTAAATTGGGAGTTAGAATGAAACCCGATCTTTTCTTGAAATCTTGGAGCCCTTTTTTAGATTATTTTAAGGAGATGAGCTCTGGATAAACCCTTTTTTTTTTTTTTTTCTCCCTCTGGTTTATTTAGTTGTTTATATGTATGCATATGTTACTGTGATTATATGTTCATCCGCATTTGAGCATTTATTATGTTTGTTTATTTTTTTATTTTTTCCCTTTATTTAATTATGTAACAATCTGATGCTTGTACTGTGCTTGTGATGCTTTTCTTAATAATAATTAAAAAAAATTAAAAAAAATCATTTTTGTTTTCCTAAAGCTTTCTTTCACAGGCAAAGGAAGAGTTTCAGATGTTTTTTGTACCTTATTTGTGTAAAATAAAAGGTGCTGTTTAAAAAAAACAAAAAAAAAGTCAACTATTATCCATGTTTTTTGGACAATGTACCATAGTAATATATAAGGCATTTATGTATAATAATTTTTGGACATGTACTGGACATGATGCATGGTATTACCTTGACATTCTTTGAAGTACCTTGGTGTACCATATAAATACCATGGTGTATAAACATGGTAATCATTCAGTACCAAAGTGCAAAGCAAAGCACCATAGTATTAACATTGTCCTTTCAGAGTAGTTTATCCAACCTACGCTGCATCAACAGCATCACTTAAAAGTGTCCCTGCTGTCCCTGGCAGCTTTCATCCCAAGCACTTGCTCGTCCCATGAGAAAGGACATGGTGACACAACATCCAGCGCACAGCTTTTTTCTTTCGCCTCCGTACGCCCCTTTACAGCCTGTTTCTTATAAATCTGAGAGCTGTCTTAACAATTTTCTCAGGCCAGCAAGATAAAGAACAGCCTAGAAAAGCCTACACGGGCCACGTCTCGGCAACTGTAACAGCAGAGACATTCATGCCATACAGAAGAGAATACCAAGCTGATGCGTAATACTGATCTGAATAGGTCTAATCATAAAAGCATTGTGTCTCTAAACAGCACAGGCTCTGACAGCAGCAGTGGGCGTATATGAGAGGAAGTGTTCGGATGCAAAGTGCAGTGAAATTCCAAACATGCACGACAAAAGAGCCCTTGAAAAGGCAAACGGTGAAATTAAAAACTGTGATTTAATCTGTTTTTACAGTCTGTTCATTTCTGTATGTACTGTGTTTGAGGAGATTGTTGCCAAATTGTGTTTTTACAAATAGTGTTATATTTTTATATTTCCAAAGAAAAGGCAGATTAATCGGGTGATATTTGATCATTTTGAGATTCTCGAACTGATCGATAACTGTGCCTACTTAAATAGCACAACTGGTTACATAATCAACCAACAGCTTCATAAATAAAAAAGGGAAATTTTCTGTTCTCAAATGTAGCAAATGTTTAAATATATATATATATATATATATATATATATATATATATATATATATATATATATATATATATATATATATATATATATATATATATATATATTGCATTTTGAAATAAAAACACAATAAAAAAATGAAATACTTCATCACCCAATGAAATTTTTTTAAATTTTACAGCCACACAATGTGAGGTATATTTGTATTTTGTATGTTGCAGGTCGAGTGACAAACCACAGTTTAATATAGCAGTAGTACTATTAAAACAACTTACTTTACAGTGCAAATAGACTCTAGATCTAGTGTTTTCATTTTCAAAGAACGTCTTTTGTGTCTTCTAATACATGAACAACTGAAAAATCTGAAGAAAAAAACTGTTTACCTGAAGAAGAAAAAAAGGATATTGGTACTTTATGTGTTACTTCATGTTTATGCAACTAAACGAGCTGTTGAAACACTTGTGTATGTGAGAGCGGAAAAGAGAAAAAGTCAGAGAGATGGCAATATAAAGGAGGAGAATACAGAGAAAACAAATGTAAGAAAAAAGGGGGGGAAAGAATAGTATAAAGAAAGCTAAAATAAAGATAGTTTTCCATGTGCACCGTTTCTTTTGGGTCTCTCGTCACATTAGCATGCATTGCGGCGCTCATTTGGGATGATACACGTGGAGAGAAACCCAGGTCCCGGCATAATTATATTCCGGCATTCGCCCTCTCCCTTCTCGTTCCCTCTTCTCTCCAGACACAACCTCTTCACAGCCATTATAAACCTGCTTTACACATAACCAGCTCCCTCTGTAGTAATAACGCTGTCAGTCAAGCAGATGTAAAACTTTCCACCAGTAGTATAGGGTGGGGGTGGCTGATGCCAAAGCTATATCAGAGTTTGCTTGTATTTGTGGGGTAACCGGATCCAATCTGCCTTCACAACCACTCACACACCGATTACAGGACTTTAGGTGACCTTTACGGTTATGGAATGTGATGACAAAGTTAGTGCCTTGTGTCCAAACTCCATGTACAATGAGGAAAAATATTATGACATGAAAGCCAATAGAGCCTAAGGGATTGTGGTACACTAAACTGGGGGGGAAAATAAATGAAAAATTCTAATTTAATGAATTATATAAAAAATATGTAGATATGTTATAAAAAATATAAATATATCCATATAACAAGAAAAAAAATCCTTTAAAACCACATACATTTATTGTTATTATGCATATATGCTAACAAAAATAATAAAAAATTGACAATTAATTAACAAAAAATATTGAATATATACTCTCTGAAAACAAGTCTTTTAATTTGTAATTTAGCTTCTCAAGTTTCATCTTGTTCAACACAAGGATGTTTAGACAAATAAAAACACAAGAAAAATGTACTGATTGCTTTTGTTTGTTAGTTTGTTTGTTTGTCTGATATATAGCCACTTGCACCCAATTTAACAATTAATGAATGTGTGCTGTATCGCATTAAACTTGGAAAGTAATAATTCTCAAATTCCTACTTGAAAAAAAGTCCCATAAAACGTCACTTGAAATTTGACTTCCAACTTGGAAACACAGTTATTATTACCACTTTGTGCCTATAAACGCTTATCAATGGATACAATTTTCAGTTTTTATATGTTGTCATTTATGTATAAATATTGCACACGTTAAATATATTTAAAAATGTGTTTGCTAATATTGCATGGGTTTAGCACTAGGTGTGTAAACTACCTTTAAGAAAGAGAAGCCTTACCAATTAAGTCTTGACCTGGAGAAGGTTTTGTCCACTCTGTGAAGAAAAAAGAAAAACATTGACAAAAAGTCAAAATCATAAGCATTTCAATACTGACACAACTGTAAAGCTCTTATAGCCATTGCCTGATTTCACTCTTTTAACACATTCTGGCAATCAAACTCCAACCAGAGCCTGCTAAATGCTAACGGATAATCAATTCAGTGCTGACAAACTCCTCATGCACTTTAACACTTGACCTGATGTGATAATGACTCAGCCAATCTATCAAGTTAACGAAGGGTGAGGGCCAAAAGGATAATGAAGAACCACTGGAGCACATCATCAATTAATACAAGCAATTGCTATCACTAAAATCCCTTGAAAAGCCATCTTCGCTCAATGTGCGGTCCGTGACACCTTTAACCCCTGATCTTATTACTTTGTGTTTATGCACTTTTTATGTTTTGAGTGATTCTCAACAATTCTGCCTGACAAAAAGCTGTACAATTGTACCGAGGGCATTTGCGGTTGTGAGACGCTAATGAGAGAAGCGGCTTCTCTAACGTTTCTCCGAAGAGCAGCTGCGGCTTTGTTCTAAGAATACGCCATGACTCGACTTGGTTTAAAAACAGCTCAGCCCTCAGATGTTTTCTGAATAAGACCTTTCATAAGACTGAATATCAAAATAGACAAAGCTGAATACAATGGTGATTTTGCGTGAAAAAAACCCCTTATTTTCCAGGCTAATGTAATTGGTGTCATTTCATTTCTTGCCACAAGGTGGTTCTACAAACCCCTGTGTTGAAAAAGGACCAATAACCTTGATCAAATCTTTCAACAAAAGATTTGAGACCGAAAGTAACCGTTTTCCAACCAGACTCATCAGGATATCTCCATTTACTGGCTTTGCTGTAAATGTCAGACGTCCGCAGGGCTTGTGGGCAGTCAGTCACAGCACTTCTGCTGAGCGCAAGGGGAAAGAGTGGCTGTTGTGTCAACAAAATGTAGTAACACTTCAGGTAGAGCATATAGAGCAACAAATATTTCCATTACCTTGAAGGAAAGGACAGTGATCTTTTATTAGCTGCTTTAGCTAACAGTCCTCCACATTTATTTTGAATAATGAAGTGTCAATCGATTAAAATGTCATTTTAGCCCACATGATATTGTTCAAACGGTAACACTTTAGAATAAGGTTTCATTAGTTAACATTAGTGATCGCGCCGGCGCCTCCACCGACCCCAGGGCGTTAACTACATTAGTTATGATGATCTCCACTTCTACAGCATTTATTAACCTTTGTTATTACACGGCTCTGTGGAATTCTTGATTCTGATTGGTCAATCGCGCCATCCAGTGGTATGTTATTCCCCGATAACAACCGGTGAAAACAGATAACACAGGCTCATCCGGGTTACTGAAGTCAGCAGCACCAGGGATTGTTTTTTCCTCGTGGAAGTTTTGCATTTGATGAGCTAATAAAATATTAAAACTCAAGTCAAATCAATATTTTGTGTACAGTCATCCAGTATTGTGGACTCGCTCTCTATTGTTTCATACGAACGCAGCTCCTGCCATTTTGCGACGATTGTTTTGTACACTGTTGGATTATAAGATAACAAACAGGTACAGGTTATCCCCATAATTATTTATGTGGCGAAATGCTGTGTAATAAGTGGTATGACTGTACCATATCCCTTAAATGTCTGTCTAGTTTGAATTTGCAGCGCTAGCAACTCTCTCCGTGGAAGCTTTGCGTTCAAATATTTTGACTCAATATTCAATATTTCGTGTCTAATTATTCACTTACGTGGCAAGTAGACTCCGCTTCACGTCGGGGTCCTGATCACCCTGTCGGGGGTTTGTTCTGTGATAACATTCGGCTGGATATTATCCCATGTTAATTTCAACATTTACAGATACATTATTAAAATAATGTATAAGTTGAAAATGTTTGCATTAGTTAATGCAATGTGAACTAACATAAACAAACAATGAACAGCTGTATTTTTATAATTGAATGTTAACGTTAAAAATGAACAAATACAGAAACAAATGAATTGCTCATGGTTAGTTCATGTAGTAACGGTAATACATTAACTAATGTTAACAAATTAAACCATATTCTGAAGTGTTACCATTTAATCAAATGGTAGTACTTTGTGTTTAAATTTATATTCTTAAATGACTTATTGCTGATTTTAAGGGCAGGTCAGGAGGATGCGATTTTTCAATAATTAACTTAACTAAATTACACAGGATTTATACAGATATGCATCCCTGACATTTTCTTCAATTCATATTATAAAATGCACTTAAAAATAAAAAATATAAATGAAACAAAATAATTTTATTTTCACTGAAAGGTTCTTTGTGGAACCAAAAATGGTTCTTCCATGGCATCGCTGCAATAAAAGCCTTTTGGAACCTTTATTTTTAAGAGTGCATAGGTGTAAAAGGCATGGGAAAATTTGTCATATGCAATTGCAAACACTGATTTTAATTTAAAAATGTAATCAAACCGTATATGACACAAGTAAACCCCTCTACCAACACAAATTCATTGTAAACACACATGAGTTCAGGAGTAAATATTGGAGCCGAGCCACTGACTGTGGAAACAAAGCCTATAAATCACCAAATGGGGATCAGTGTGTTTGTACGAGCATGTGTCAGTAAACATGCTGGATCAAACAGAACCGGTTTCAGATTGCTTATGCAATCCAAAATACAAACCTGTTAAACCTGGTGATGTAGGTGCAATGCCAAAGACCAGCAGATGTAGCAAAAAAACTATTTTTTTTCATTAAGGGTGCTCTATTTATATGATCTGTTATTTCAACACAAAAGTGCTTTAAACTTCACATATAAAGTTTCAGGCAATAGATACAAGACGAATGTCACAAATCACTACATGACTCGTGTTTACCTCTTTGTTTGAAGAGACATCTTAGCAATCTCTGACATCATCTTACCATCATCAAACTCTCAGCGTTCCAACTGAACCGTTCTAACCAAGCAGGCCCAACAAGACGGTGTCAAGTAACAACATGTGCAAGTATAAAAGACATTGTGCAAGTAATAACTTATTTTTGTGAATAAATTAAACTAAAAACGTATGTCTACTTTTAGAGAATTTCCCTTTATTGTGTCAGTCCTTAATTACTCACCCTCATGTCGTTCCAAACCTGCAAGACTTGCGTTTTTCTTTTTGATGAAATCTGAGAGCTTTCGGTCCCTCCATTGACAGCTACGCAACTACCACTTTGACGCTTCAAAAAGTTCATAAAGAGATCGTAAAACTAATCCATATCAATTGAGCGGTTTAGTCCAAATGTTCTGATGAGACACGATCACTTTATATAATGAACAACAGGTTGAATTTATGCTTTTATTCATCAACTCACTTTACTCAATTTATGAATTTATGCTTTTATTCACCAATGAGGTTCATTCTCGTGTTTATAATTGAATAAAAGCCTAAATTAAAACTGTTTTAACCAAACCAACCAAGTCATAGCTCTTCATAGCCTTGCAGAAAATAATGCAGCACCTTGAAACATCAAAATAAAGCATTCAGAAACGGTATGAACATTGATTAGAAGACATCATGTTTGCTGATAATACCGAATGCATGATCAATCAACATCTGCAACCTAGAACTGGAAGTTAGCATCTATAAACCATAGTAGCCAGTGAACATTAACTGCAATGGCATATAAACATCCAGCAATGTGCTTCCTGCTCTGTGAATGGTTACTCCTCACAGAACAAATGAGAAATCAAAGTCACCATCATCTGTTCTTGTCACACACACACAAATACCCAGTAGTCGCTCTTACCCCCCATATGCTCCAAAAGTAAAGCTCCTCTTCCTGTGAGACATTCTTCTGTTTTCCCTCGACAGTCTCTTCACCTCCGTCTCTGGCTCTTTCACTGGGTACTTGTTTTGTGCCTCTGTCTCAGTGTGTGAGAGTGTGTCCCTCCTTTTCTGCTTCCTATCCCTCCTCTCTTCCCTCCCTTTCACCTGAGACAGATGATCCACAGCTATGGGCAGGTGCTCGCTTTTCAAATGATGTCTTTACTTACTAGACACGTGATGAAAATAACCAAGTGGTAAGTTCTTAGAAATAAAAAGTTGTAGAAATATGTATGACCCAAACCTAGCCATGATTAACACACACAAAAAAAAAACTATAAAAACCGTGCCTTTTTGTATGATTCAGCTCTCACAATATCATACGATTTCGTCATATTTTATGAATTAAGTGCTACAAAAGGAAATAAAAACAAATCATTCTGCTCAACACTGGATATAAAGCTCTAACAAAACATTCCCACTGGTCCTGTACAACTGATGAAATTAGTCAGCATGATAAATTACATTCAATAAATTCAGACTAAACATACTAAAGCTTCTTCAATTAAAACTCAATCGAGAACCAACCAGCTGTACTGTGACACTCTGTCACACATTTAAAACATAACTTTCTCAGGCAGACAAACATATATAACCTTTGGTAACCTCAGGCTCAGATAAATGAGTGTTTACTGTATGGAAACATTGGCAACAGCACAATGTACTATCTCATCTCATCTCATATCAGCTGACGGAAAGCTCAGAGTGAGTAAATAAACATCTTGTGCTTACTCGCTTCTATTTCTCTCAATTAGTTAAAAATGACATTGGTTGTTAAACAATCATTTTTATTTTTAACTTAATAGTAGAATCACTGTTACTACGGTAACAATCCATTACTCTTTTATAGCTCATTAAACTTGGATCTCAGTTATGTTTCATTAAAATTTGTAATGCTTCTCATAAAACTCTTTAGGAAAAGAAAAATAGCACTACCCATAATTGCCTGTGCCAGTTGAGCTAGCCCCCAATCCTAAATCATCACTAAAACACCCTAAAATGAGTCTAAAACAATCAAAAGTGACCCAAGGTGACATCCAAAGTCAACTCAGTAAAAGAGATTTTATCGGTTGGGTAGCAGTTACTGTCATAATCTGAGAGACGGACGACGGTTTGTGTCTTTGATATAGGACAT